CCGGTGTGGGCCGATAACAGTGATCTGATGATGGTAGCAACCCGAAAGACACTGGTCTGGAGACGGTAGCATCCCTTAAGAGCTTGAAGCTTCTTCAACCTTCTCCTCCAAATCCAAGTCCCCTCTCATGAAGAGAGTGAAGGTCTATATAGCTTTTGTGAGCAACGTCACATAAAATTATTGCATGAATCCAAAAACTCCATCAGATGACCCATAGTTATTTCATTGATCGATTATAATATTTTGAGTATTTGAATTTCTTAATGATGTCAAAATTATGTGATATTGGACTCATTGGATTCGTCTCATCGAGACCTTCAATTTGCCTAAGAATATGCCAGATTTGGAAATTATTTGATCCCTAAAAGTGTTTCAAAGCTTCTTTTTATGCTTTAAGTGCATGGTTTGGGCTCATTATGACTCAAATCATCATCTTTGTCGTTTGGTTCATCTCACAGAGACACTTCACTTGATCATAAATTTGAGTGTGGGCATTTCTAGATTTATATATATATATTATGGAAATAGTAATAAAATAACAAATTTTACAGGAATAATTTGCAAAAATATCATACAATTCTTATGTACTTACATGTCATATAAGATTTCATATTTATAGTTATAGCACTGTTGTCATAACACTTAATGAAAAATGTGTATTTTAATTTTTAAAATGTTAATAATGGTGATATTTTTGACATGATGTTAAAGATTGAGTAAGAATTTAGAGACATCTTCGCTTTTCAAAGCTCTTCTTCAGCGCTCCATTCCTGTGAGATATATAAGTTGTGAGATATATAAGTTATGAGCTATCAGATCATAAGATAGTTCTTTCCGCTCCTATGAGCGCATGCACCATTATAAAATCATTATGCACATCCAAAATGCCTATGTTGTGCATTTCTCTCACAAGTTAGACCATCCTTAATTCTGCTCTCCTTCATGGGAATTTCAAGACATTTACTAGACTACCAAGCTTTTCATTGAACTACTTCAACATGTAGAAGGTGTTTGGTGCGGCAATGGGCTGACGGTGCTTACCCGGAATGCACCATTGCTCTGCTTGGCCTGTACGTCGCAGGCGTAGTAGGCTTGAGGCGGGTTGGGTTCCGCAGTTCTGGCAAATTTTCTTTCAATTTTAACCCTTTTCACTTTCAATATTTCGTCGTAATATCCCCGATAAAGGATGGACATTACTCATATTGGTTTCACCTCTCTCTCACCCACTTTCTCTCTACTTCATTACTCTCTAGCTTCTTCTGGATTGTTTCAATTTGAGTTTTTGTGGCACAGCATTTGCAACTTGACTCTTTCTTTCCAAAGTTTTAGATTTTTGAGATGTTTAGGGTTCCATGGTCGTTGATTTCTTATTTTGTTGAGCAGATGTGATGTTATATGGAATCCTTAGATGGGGAGGATGGCGTTTGATTTGGATTCTCTTAGTTATTTATTTTCGTCTTTCTATGATCATGATATGATCTTCTTGAAATGTATATTGGTTATTTGTTTTTGTAGTTATGTGATCACTGGTATGACTCGTTGGATTGTTTTTTTTTTGGTTTTTTATTCTTGTAGTTGTATGATCAGACATACAGATCATCGGAAACATCATTTTTACATATATATTATCAAAAAAAATTGATATTTACAAATTAATCGCCTAAATGATTTTCTTGAACTATAGAACCAGTATATTTATTCGTGTTATGATAAAACTATTGAAAATTGATAAAAATGAAAAATATGGGTCGGGGTTTTTCCATGAAATTTGATATTTGAGTGAGCACCTGAGGAATTGATGAAATAAGGCGGTTGATTTGTAAATAGCAAGTTTTGGGTGGTCTGTATGTAATCACCTCATTCTAATTTTGATTTTTATGGGGTTTACATACTTATCATGCAATTCTCATGTCTTTACATATACAACCTTCTAAATTTTAGTATTTATCTGCATAACATTCAAAATTCTAATATCTCATAAAAATGTCACTTATTAACATTTTAGAAGATTTACATACATTCCATGCAAATATATAAAAAATATGTGGCATGCATGTAAATCACTCTTTTTCGTAGCTTAGAACAACGACTATCTGTAAATTCATGATTATGGATATATGTGGAAAACATTTGATTTTATATGAATGTATTTTATTA